CTAAGTATCCAACTTCTTAATTAGGTTTTGGATAACTTCCAGGATTGGTGCTTGATGTCCAATTATATCTGCAGTAAAATGGCACTTAGAAGTAACTAGCACTTCCAGATAAGAACTTCCCGTGATCTGCTAGAAAAATTTGAAATCAAGATGTTATAAAGTACTTCAGCATCAATAAAAACAGAGGAACCCAGTGAACATGTTGATGAGGTGTCTTCCCTGACTTTCTGTCCTCAAATCATAGTAAGTGTTTGGGCTTTGTTTTACCCTTGACAGAACTTCACTGTTGCCACATTGTCTTGTCTTTAGCTGTGCAAAATGCCCAGGAGTTTAAGTGCTGTAAAGACTTCACAGCATAGGCAAGTGCTTCTGAAATGAGCTGTGATTTTGCAAGAGCCTGTATGTATGGGTCAAATTGTGATACGTAACAAGGCCACCAGTCAAGACCATGCTTTGCAATTCATTGGAGCAAGTTTAGATTTATACGCTGGAAACTAAGAGTTCATTTTGGACCATCAGTTGGAATTAAGTTTTCCAGAGCTGTCTGGACCTGAACCCAGATGTCAGAGTTGTGTCGCTGCAGAGGCCAGCTGGCCTACGGGCACGTCTTTCCCCCATCATTCTCTAAAGGAGCGACAGAGACATGGGGTACCTCCACTGCCTTGAGGCTTGGCACGTTGATGATGGTCATGGTCTCAGCTAGAGCCTTTCTGCTGGCTGCTCTCTGGGGCAGAGTGATGAAATCAAACATCAGCATCATGAGTGGTGACTCCAGCTCCTTCATCTCTGGATTTTGAATGTTCTGGATTGCACTTCAACCTGGACAGCTGACAAGCACCCTAAAACCTCAGCTGTCTGAGCCAAACTGAGTACCTGAAAGTCCAGGAGGGATTGGAAAGTCTGGGGTTCATCTTGTTGAAGTTAGTAGCAAAACTGTCTTTATTTCAGCTGGCTGCAAAATTAGGGGGATGCTAAGCTCTGCTGAAAATGGTACACATGTATCACATCTCTACTCTCAGAGGCACATGCTGGGTTTCTTTTGCATTTTATTTCATAGTGATGAGCATTGTCAATGTGTTTGATAAATAATCTTTACTTTCAGTAGATGAGCTTGAGGTAAGAATACGGGTAGATTAGAATTCATAGCTTTCTGAATTGAGAGATGTACTGAACACTGAATTTCCCTGGATCAGTGCTACTGCAAACACTGAAAAGGCTAAGAAGGAAGAAGGAGATCCTTACTAGGCATAGGACAGCACTACAGGGGCTGTCTTGTACTGTCTGAAGGATTTGGTGCTGCATGTGGAAGTGTCATGGTGTGTAGTTTACGTGTATTCTGCTGCTATACGTGCCCCAGAGGACTGAGATGATAGTTTAATGTGGGCAGTGAAGAGATGTTATGAGTTACTGGTGTGTAGGCAGAAGCACAGAGTGTTTCTTGCAGGTGATGGAAATGTGCCTCTGCTGGAAAAGTGAGCCTTTTTGCAGTTGTATCCAAAATTGAAAAATCAGACTGAGGCCTTGTTGGGAACATCCACATGCCAGACTGCCATCCTTTGCCAGCTGGCTTTCTGCAAGTATGTGGGGTCTTGCAAAGTCACATCCTATTATTTGTCAGCTGTGAATCATAATTTCTTTTAACTGGCTAAATTGAGGAGCAAGGTGCAAGGAGAATGACCTTTGTTAATCAGATGGGTTGAAGTAGTGAGTCACTTTTTATCCCTTACCTGTGAAAACAGCTTGACAGCAATCAACAATCTTAGGGATCTTCTTGTGTTCCTGAAGGGAGCCATCTTCTTCCTCCTGTTGCAATTTTTGAAGTCTTTGTTGCTGCAAATCCTACAGGCACTGCATAAGAAAGTTTAATATGCACCAAGTTGCCTGCAACGTAGCAACCAAAGGATAGTCAGGCTTAATGTCGCATGTGACATGTATTACATCCACTACACAAAGCTCCTCCTCTCTTGCATGAGTGGTTAAGGAGAAGTTGGACATCCAACAGAACCATGACAAGAGCAGCTCGCTCCTGTCTTTAGGTATCCTTGGACCATTTTCCTACCAGGTTGGTAGTGTAAGTAGGAGATCTACAGGCATTCACCAACATCTGAATCCACCAGTTTGGGTTTGTATCTCTGTGGATAGTGGTCAATATCCTGCTGCTCCCACAGAAAACTGGTGGGTTTTATGTGCTTGCTGGCAAATGATGTTGTGGGGATGGAGACCAAAGAACTCTCCTGCCCTTCATGATGGTCCACCAGGCTGGAGTGGGGACCTTGGTGGTGTCAGCCTGACTGGTTTCTCCAGGTCAGAGCTCAAGACAAGGGGATGGGCTTAGTTGGCCTAAAAAATAAAAGTCTTGCCAGGGCAGGAGTGAAGAAAGCAGGCTGGTTTCAAAACGCTGCCTCACCAGTCCCTGGGTGATTTGGGCCAGGAGGAGGGAAGGTCACGTAAGGTACTTGGCAGAAGCTGGGGAGCGCATATGGGGAAAGGCGCTTTGTTTCTGCCAGCAATTGCCTGCCCTGGCAAATGCAGCAGCAGGTAGGGACCTGGCAGGGGGTAAAGGAAGGGCTGTGGCCATAACCCCTCGCCAGGCTTTGTCTGCCATGCAGATTAGGTGGAGGGCTTTGGCTCAGCGTTGCTAGGCTCTTCCCCCCTATTGACTTGGTGGAGAGGCTGAGCGGGGTGAGAGGGAGGGACTGCATTATATTGTTTCTTTGAGCTGGTTTTTTCCCCCCTCTATGGGGAGATGGGCTTGATCCACTGGTTTTGGATTTCAGAGGCAGAAGGCAAGACATGACCAGCTGGTGTCTTGAAATGGCACAGGTGCAATGGCTGCGGGAGGGGGGAGCCAGCAATAATTACAGGTTTCTGAAGCATCAGGCTTTGCCTGAAAAGGGCTCATCGAGAAACTGCTCTTTATGGAAAATTAATGGTGAAGCTGGAAAAAACTGTCAGGCCTACTATTGTTGTCATGGGGTAGTGATGCCTTAAAGGAGCAGCACCTCCTGCTCGCCTCCTCTCCACGGGCAGCCCGGAGCCGGCACGCAGCTTTCTGATCCCACAGCAATTGAAATTTCATGTCACTGTCATCAGATTTAATGGCCTTGAGTCCCTGTCTCTTTTTTTTTTTCTCCCTTCCTTTTCCCTCCCTAATTTGTCATTATGCTTGCTGTTCCCCCTGGAAGCCTTGTAGTTATTCGGCCCCTAAACCTGTTTGTGCCCCACTGGGTGAAGGCTAAGTGGGCCAGGAAGCCCAAATTACATGATGTGGGAATTGAAAAGCCTTGTCTCTTTTGGCGAGAGGGATTATTCCTGAAAGACTGTGGAGCACATTTGGAAAGCCACCCCTAAAACCTGTTAGGATTCATCTGAGGAAAGACCAGATCCTGAGCTAAAGCTGTTCCTTATGGTCCCAGAAATGCACTTTAAAAAGAAGACAGAAAGGCTTAAGGCAAGAGTACTAAATGGTAAGCGTCCCACCTCCAGGCCTGTGTGCAGACACATTATCTATACAGTGTCATACCTCTGAAAATAACCTACACGCTGAAGTATAGCATGTCTCTTGCCATTTTATTGCATTTTGTCCAAGTCCATCTCTACAGCTCAGGTCTATAATCAGCTATTATTTTAAAAAGAAACAACAGATAACTGTCTGACAAATTCCGTTCTGAACTCTGAAAGTCATCCCAGCAAACTGGATCTGCAACCAGCAGTGCTGCTTCCTGGGTACCTTGGAAGTAATAATCTTGAGTTACCTGATAGCTCCTAGAGAGCTGTGAGAGGGGCTTCTTTACACTCCTGTTGATAGGATCTTTGTACCCAGAAGGCAGGAGTCTCTGTCTCCTCTGGTCATACAAATCTTTTGTTTCTTGATCAGATGCTGGACTGACTTGCCAGGTTGAGACATAGTTGGGTCACCAGCTCCCATAGGCTGAAACTTTTTGCCTAAAATCCCTTCCTTAATATCTCTAGAAGTGTTCTCTGAGGAGTAGTTTTTAGAGGTTTCTAAGAAATATTAGTTAGAATGTCTGTTTCTCCAAGTCCTGTAAAATCACGGTGGTATTAAACCAGCTAGCCTTTCAGGCAGCGAGAAATGAAAAATAGCACTAATAAACTCCATTAAAAGCTTCTGAAACTACAGCAAATGGTTTTCTATAAACGATAAAGGTTTATAATGTTGGTTATGGAGAACACTGGGCAGCATGATAGTGCCTGGAGGCTTTATTAGGGCTAGCTCAGGGCACCTCATATAAGGTACATTCGGATAGGAGGGTCAGCCCATCCTTGTGCTGATCACTGCTGTGGAGATGCAGAAACATGTTTTTATGTGGCAGCCTCTTTGCATCTTCACTTTTTAATAAAGTGCAATGTGTGTGTTTGTGTGCAAGTCTGGTGTCCTGTACACAGAAAGCTCTGTTTGACCAGATGTGCCAAAACCCCTCTAAAACTGACAGTAGGTCCCTTTTTTCTGTCACATCTTTTCCTTCTGTCAGGTCCTTTAAACAAGCGGTGGTGTCACTGGAAGTTTTTACCTGTCTCCTATCTTAAAATGCTACATTTCAGAATTGTGCTGTTTTAGGAACAGATTGGGCCCCAGCCAACTATGCTGAATTAAATTTGGAGTGAAAGTTAATGTTTGAAAAGGAAGAGGAAGCAGTTCTTTGGAGAGGTGACTTTTTGTTTGTACGTGGCCTGGCAATGGGGCCATTAGGATGGTTTCATATGGAGGCAACTGTGGGCCAGATTACACTTAAAATTGGGAAGGGCCTGGTGTCCATGGGACAATGTACAGACTTTTGTGAAAATGTAGAGGATGCTACAAGTGCCAAATCCTCATGTCTCCCAAAATGTGACCATCTCATGAGAAGGTGCTGGTATGCATGAATGCTGTCTCTGAATGGCACTGGAGAATGTTGTTCTCCTGCCCTAGGTGGAAGCTACACTGTAATCTCTCTCTAACAGTGGTTTCTCTTGCTCCCCTCTCCCTTCCCCTTCTGCAGACATGCCTGGAGTTGGAGCGATACCTTCAGACTGAGCCACGGAAGATCTCCGAGACCTTTGGTGAGGATTTGGACTGCTTCCTTCATGCCTCCTCAGCCCCAGATGCAGAGGACAATATCCGACGGCTGGACCCCATCCTTTTACCAGTGGAGACGAGTACGTGTGACAAAAGCGCCAACATGGACATTATCCTCTCACGGGACAAGCTGCTATCTGAGACGTGCCTCAGCTTGCAGTCCACCAGCTCTTCCACAGAAGGCTACACAGCCGTCAACCAGGCCCAACTCAATGCAGTAACCTCATTAACGCCCCCTTCCTCTCCAGAGCTCAGCCGCCACCTTGTAAAAACCTCACAAACTCTTTCAGCAGTGGATGGCACGGTGACGTTGAAACTGGTGGCCAAGAAAACTTCGCTCAGCTCTGTGAAAGTGGGTGTAGCAACAGCGACCGCGGGGACGCTAAAAAGTGGGCAAAGTGACAGTGAACAAGGAGGTACAGGGGCAGAAGCATCCCCAGAAAACAAGAAGAGGGTTCATCGCTGTCAATTTAATGGGTGCCGGAAGGTTTATACAAAGAGCTCCCACTTAAAGGCTCACCAGAGGACTCATACAGGTACTTGTGTAGGATGCTTCTCTCATGTTGTCCTCCTGCCACCTAACTGTAACCACCTCCTTTTATTCTCATTTAGAAAAGAAAAAAAAATCTCTTCTGAAAGTGCAAGCTTCAGGGCAGTGGAAAAATATGGTAGACCAGCAAACGTACCCATTATTCAATAGAACAGAGGAGTACACTGTCTACCATTAACCTGTTGGGGTTTCATATGTCTTACGGGGTTTGGTGCTGAGTAATTTTAGGATACCTAAGGGATGTAGATGTATCATTCATGTTAAAACTGTTAGCATGCCAGTTTGGGTTTTTGGCACTCTCTTCCCCAAGTCAGCTTTAAAAATGTTAATTTTAGTCAAGTGTTAATTGCTTCAAATAGAAAATAGCATGGGTAGGTTTTTGTTGCCTTCTGTATGGGGGAAAGAGAAAAATGTATTTCCAATCTGAGATATGCAGTTTAGGAATAATGTGTGCATGAGAGATCATGTGTGTTGATGCAGATGTGTAGGTACGCAGGTGCATGTACCCTTGAAATACTCACGATCTTGGACTTCTCTGGTGATAAAATCTTGTGAGAACAAATGAAAGAATGACATGGAGCTTGAATAGAATAGTGCAGGTAGAGAGAGGATAGGATGTGTGGAAAGATGTCAGGCTGTTACTTTGTGTAACATTCACTAATGTTACATGTAAGCTCCACTGTGTAAGCTTCTTGAAGCATACCAAATTGGCTTAGGTTTGGCTTTTCAGGATCCCCACTCTCCTGTCATTTGTTCGTAGTCCCCAGTAGCTTTTCAACTGGTATTCATTGGCAGTAATAGCTGTGCAGTTCGCACGCGTTGCTGCTTTGTTCTAGGCTTCACATGTGATGAGAGATGATAAATTCCCATTAGCACTGTCTTATCATGTGATTATTCTTGTTTCCAGAGGGATTGCTGTAATCAGTTTTCTCAATTTTACTGTAAAATGTGTGGTCTCTTACGATAACTGCACGTTTAATTCATGATCTTATCATGCAGGCAGATTCCTAGAAGCAAGGCTGTTCTTGCAAGGTAGAAAATAACATGTTGGACCAGTGCAGTAAATCAAACAAATGTGTGAGTTGTTAAGAGAGCTGCATCCGTCAAATACTAGGCAGACCCCTAAAAGTTACATGGTCTGAAGTATAAATCATATTAAGATATGAGGCATTGGTTTTGATCTTTTTATATGGGCTTTCTAGTGCTTTTACTGGGGATAGCCACCTTGCCACGAGTGAGCTCACTTGTGATCCAGTCATTTGAAAACCAGAGAAAGTAGCGCACCCATTTTAAAATCTGCAGCAATGTGGTCAGGAGGCTCCTCATAGTGCCAGTGCCACTGTGAGGCTGGCCCCCACCGGGGCTGTCCGGGGGGATGTCCCAGCCAAGGCCTTCTAGCAGGCAACAAGGCTTTTGTGAAAGACACAAATGCAGAATGTGAGAGCCATTGACACAGTGGTTTTGTCTGTTCAGATGTGACCCCTGTGTTCCTCCTTGAGGTTGAAGTGATGGGTCTTACACAGCTCTTCCTGAAGTTAGTCGGGGATGTGACACAATTGCCGAGAAAGGGTGAACTTGTGGAGTTTTTCTGTTTTTGACACCCAGTAGGTGGGGATGTGGACAAGGAGTCCTGAGAGAGCACTTGCAAAAACCGCTACTCTTTCAACACATCCACCCTTTGGAGTCAAAATCTTGCAAGATTTTGCATGCTTTTGAACCCAGCCTTACGTCTGGTTGAATTTTGTATCTGAGGTCAAAACCTTTCCCCTCAATAACATCAGCATGTGAAATCTTATGTTTTACAACTAATCAGTGATGAGAAACATTTCTCTCTGGCCCTGTGGTACTTCTGTTGAATAGCCTTAGAATGTGTATAGCGCCATGGATGTGTATGTGTCTGCCCATCCACAGCAGTGCTCAACACGGTGAGAAAGGCAAGTCCACCTTTGCTGGCAGATGGGGAAGGGCTGAGATGATGAGGCTGCAGCTGCCTGGGTGCAGTGCCCACACCTCCCACTCTCAGCACCTCACTTAATGTGTTCAACTACCCCTCTGATTTTGCCAGTTAAACCATGAGTGGTTTAACCAGCCCCTAAACCATTTATTAGTTTATAGGAGTGTTCCTGTTTCCATCCACCAAGTCCTAAGCAGGTAGCATAGGTAACAACCTGCGTTGTTAGGATTGTTAGGAAAGCAGGAAGGCAAAAGACAGGAGAGAATACAAACCTGGATGAGGAGCTCTCCTGTCTTTGCAGCCATATAACCACCCTGCATCTGACTGTGTTGTAGCTGTGCATAGCTGTGTAGAAAGCATGGTTTCATTTTGCGATGAGGACTGGATGCAGCCTTGTTAAAATACATCTTTGATGCAGAACCTGGGAGCAGGTAGGCACCTGGCTCCCATTTTTCTCTGTGGAAAGCAGATCATCTAAATACCTTTGAACGTTTACATCTTGGGAGCAATCTGAGTGAATTGAGGGGAAGGGTGTGATGAGCTTATCTAATGAACTTAACTGAGTCCAAAGCACAAAGTTGTTCAGACCCCTTCATCCTTCTTAAGTGCTCTGCTCCCTGAGAAAACACTGACCATTGGATGCCTTAATTCAGAGCTGGTACAATCAAGACATTAAATCTGTTCATGCTGACCCTTGCAGTGGGGGTTCCCCGCAGGGAACTCCTGCCTCCAGTAAAAGAGAGGGACAGAGAGGAATAGCTATGGAAATTTGGGACTGGATTATAAATGGCAGGACTACCTCCTTTCCCACGCACGCCTTCAGGGCTAGGGACAAGGAGCCCTTTTCTCCATTGGTGCTTTGTTTTTTTCACGCTGTGAGCTGAGCTGAGCTGTGGGTTGTGAATGCACCCAGCAGTGCCAATGGCTAGTAGCCACTTGGCTTAGTCAGTGGCTGAGCCAGAGGGTCTGCAATGATTGCAAGATATTTTCCTTTGGCTGGTAGTTTGTTAGTATGTCATGCAAGATCAGTCTGCCAGTGCGGGCTCTGTGTAAAAGGGTATGAATGCCCTGACAGACAAAGAGCTCTCAGTGTGGGGTACACAGGCAGGGAGGCAGATGCAGGCTGGTCACCCAACTTGCACGTGCAAAGTCCACTTGCTAGATCAAAGGGGTTTACTGCAGTGCATGAAAACAAGAAAACCCTGGGCTGGGGAGCTGGGGGGGGTGGAAGGCGGCGGAAGGAGGTTGCATTCCTTTCGTTCGTATGTAAGGCTGACCAGACAGACACTGGCTGGCGTTCTTGCTGCTTCGTGATGAGCCAGGCTGAGCTGGAGGCAATACAGACTGATAGCAGCTTGCTGTATTGAAGACTATCTTCTCTTAGGGCTTTACTTTGCTGGAGAGCCCAGAGGCAGTCAGACCCCACATTGCACTTGGTGCATTCCCCACGTTACTCTCCTGCATCTCACCTGTAAGAGAATCAGGACAACGCTGTAAGGCCCTTCAATGGTTGAACTGGTTATGAAACCACCTTCTGGATGACCTTTGGAGAGGGAAAAAAATCATCTGTGTGGGAGAGAATTTAATCTGGAAGGGAAAAGGAAAAACATTGTCTGGATGGAAAGGGAAATGAAAATATTTGAATTCAAAGTAAGCTGGGGCATCTAAAGCGAAGGGTGTGTAAAGGACCTAGGAACAGTGGTCAGAGGGCAGCAAAGAAGCCACTCAGGGGAGAAATAGTGGTTAGGCCTGTAAACAGGAGGAAAAGGTGAGCTGTATGTTTGGAAAGACCATGGTGCCAATGTGAGCGTCAGGTAAAAACACCTAAAGAAGGAGCCGCTGAGACTGGCATGGTAGTCCAATCCTAGCACATTCTCTCACAGTTATTCATGGAGCAGACATCAGTGCAAACAATGACATTTTATCTCTTTTGAGAGACAGAAATTTTTGTCCAGCCGTCGCACATGTGTGGAGATGAATTGCCAATGTAATGGGGAGTGGAGAGGCAAGGAATTGGAATGAGCCAAACCCCATGTATAGTTATCAGTACTGCCTAAATTAGAAAACAGGATATTGCTGGCGAGTGTCTGGATGTGAATAAGCCTAAGGGTGAGCTGGCCTGTGACCTATGGAAAGATTAGTCATGGGACGTGGCTGTGTCTCCCAGATCAAAGACCTCTGGAGGAGATTTCTATCTCCTGACAAAACCATTCATATCAGCCTTCCTTGCAGTAGTGTACAGGGGAAGGTATGAGATGGTATGGGTGCTTTCTGGCCAGAGATAAAGCATCACATCTAAACTGACCAGGAAATCCTTAAGATTGGGATAGTGATAAAAATGACCCTTAGGGGGTTCTGCTGGGGTTTGCATTTTATGAGTATCAGAAGGTTTGGGGTTTTTTTCTTTATCCATCTAAACCCAGGATCTGATACAACCTAAGCTCAAGCCTGAGAAACAGCAGTTGGGAACCTTACTTCTATATTTAGGTTTCTAAAGCCTAAACAAGTGGGAAATATCTATGTAAATAGATGTTACGAGTATACATGCAATCTTAAGATCTTATTTAAGTGGAGTTTGTTTCACATTTTCAGGACATCTTATTTTAAATTATATAGTTCTTTGATCCAAAGTGCTGGGTAAGAGTAACTAAAACAAACAAATACACCCTGCAGGAAAACAAATTGCTACATTTGCAAGAAAAAGGAAAGAGACAGAAGAGTATTAGAAAGAGCATTAATGAACTGGAAGGTTTTTGAGGTGGGATTTAAAACAAGAGAAGAGCTTTCCCAGAGTGTTGGAGGTAGAAGAGGAAATGTCCAGAATTTGGAAATCATCAGAAAAGACCAAATTGAGGAGAGTAGGCTGGATGATAGATAAAGAAGATTAATACAAAGTAAAGGAATAATAGAGAAAATAAAGACTATCTGTGTCAATGATACCATGTGAATGGGAAGCTGCATTGCTGTATTGTGTTAGTGTGGTAGCACCTGTGAACCAAAAGCCAATGAAGAGGCTTTAAGGAAAAAGCAAA